CTCTCTCTCTCTCTCTCTCTCTCTCTCTCTCTCTCTCTCTCAGTGCCGAGGATGCCGGGACACAACGCTCAGCTTGCGCATTCAGCATGCTTCGCCCGTGACCCCAGTCTGGGGTGGGGTGCAGGCATCCAGCCTCCAGTGGCGCTGAGCTTGATGCATTGGTTGGCCAAAGTCCAGCGAAAGAAATGGGAACTTTAGGTTAAGGCAATTAAGCAACGAAATGTAATGCAACAGTGTCTGACAGATAGAACTTTTAGTAGCCACCCAGACTTTGGCAGGGGTGGCTTAAAGGTTTCAAGGCCGGGTCCTGTAGAATGTTTCCCATAGCATTATGGGTGCAGACGTTACAGTCCATCATATTCTGCTGAAGTGTCCCTGTACCCTGCTGGTAGTCTGGATGATAATGGGGCTGTGTATCCACTGCATGACTGAATGCACCCCATATTTTTAAAAAATGTACATATAAAACTAGGTGTTCTGCTTTCTCCGCTGGGGATGCTCCCCTGAGGCAGCATTCAAAGTCTCCCTCTCCCAATTTGTAGTGCTGCAATCCAGGTTGAGCTGTTCCACAGATTGAGCTGTTCCCTCGATTGAGACTTGCTTCTGGTTTCAGGCTGAGGGACGCTGTAATTCACCTTGGCTTCTGAAGGTGCTCCGGGTACGTTCTCCTGATGCCCCAGCGTAGGGGGGATGCCAGCGATGGCTCCAGCGGGAGCGGCGTGGTACAGAGAGTGGGGGCCCCACTCACCCACTGATCTCCCTGTGACATGAAATGCTCCCCGTGTTCTTTACTCCTCCAGCTGCCCATCACTCCCTCAGTTACTTTTTCTAGTGCAGCTCGTTTGGGGAGGGGTGAGGTTGAGGAAGCTCATCTGCCTGCCCCCTAACAAGTCCTAACAAGTCTTCCTTAAGATTTGTAAGGTTGGGAGACCTTCACACAGAGCCACCTCACAGCCCATTCAGTCTCCTGTGACAGCATGACTTCAGGAGCTCGGTCCAAAGTCTTCAGCTCCACCACTTGAGATCTTCCACAGATGCCAGGAAGGACCCCGAGGGTGTGGAATGGGCTTCCATGAGAGGTGGTTGAGGCCCCATCGGTGCGGGTGTCCAAGGATAGGCTGGACGTCCACATGGTGGGCATGTTGTGAGCGGAGCCGGCTGGAGCCTGGGGTCAGACTAGATGGCCCAGGAGGACCCTTCTGACTCGCTCTGTTTCTCTGTTTTACCAGTGCAAAAAGTGCACTCTGTTGTGGTGCAGGTGAGCAACTGAGAACCCAATCTGACCCATGCGCCTTTTTGAGCTGGGCTCTTAAGAGTTCGGCGTTTCACCATTGCAGCAAGAAATACACTTTCACAACATGTGATGATTAATTAGTGGTGTTGGTAAGTCAACAGAAAGGGGTATACTGTGTTTTTTACTACTGGGCACATATCCATATTCTGTATTACGAAGAGGTAGTAAGGAACTTGTGCAGATAAATTCTTTATCCAGTTTTTGTGTGCAGACTAATCTTTAGTGTTTCTTATGGGGGCTTGCTTTTATAGACGTTTGTATAGGAAACTGGGAGCAGCAATGCCCCTCTCGAGCAAAGGAGAGCTGTGTCTGCTTGCGATGCAAGCCCCACAAAACCAGGTGGATGAATCCCTAACCATAGCCGAGCTGCAAGTGGCTATCCACAACACGCTGCCCGTAATTAAACCTGGACTGGGCTTAGGACTGTGACTGGAAGTGAATATTTTATGCATGAGATCCTGACCTTTGAGGTATATCACCCATTCCAGTGGAAGTTACTTCCATGTAAGTGTGCTTAAAACCATAGCCTTGATGTTGGATGACAGCTGTGCCAATTCCTTCAGCTCTGTTTCGGTTTCATACCTTGTGTTTCAAAAGCCTTACCTTAGCTATAAAGAAACATGTTATCTTTTGAATGTATTTTCAGCCCATAACAAGACTGCAGGAAGGATTTTTGCCAGAGTTCTCATTTTACTGCTGGCTTGTATGAGACGGAAAGAGAGGAGGAACACAGCTTGCTTGCTTTTTGACGGGTGCTCAAAACATAACAGCCTCCACTGTGGAAGCCTCTAAAAATCACTTTGCATAGCAGCGCTCCATGATGGAAGAGTCTCTCTAGCAGAGAGAAATGATTTTGGTGGCTTCCCCATTTTTAGGTTGCCCTTCAATACTTAAATGTGGGTTTTTTAGGAAGGTTGTGGTTTGCAAATTTTGCAGAGCACAAATAAGCCCAATGCTAACCATACTGCACAGCTGAATTTACATAGTGACATATCCTCAACTACTGTAGCATATATTTTTATTTTACTTTTTAGTTACATGCATCAAAGATTAGATTAGGATAAAGTAGTGCATCTTTAGATAAATGGAGTGGGGGGGATGATAAGTGTTACTATGACACTAGTACTTGTACTAGGAGTCATTTTCTCAGATAGATGAAGTAAAATATAATTCCTTATTTCTTTTTGCCAATGATGGAAAATGTTTCAGTAGATGTAAGTTGTCAATTTTGTTGTATTTCTATTACTGCACTGTCCTGACACTGATCTGAATCTTGAAATATCAGTGCATATACGTGTTCAAAATAACCCACTAACCACTTAGACCTTTGGAATGTGTATGTATTGAAGAATTTCTTTTTGTAAAGAAAACCCCCAATCAAACATGAGCAGTAGTTCCATGAAAAAAAACTACCAGAGTTTCAGTACATTTACTTTTTAAGCTACTTCCTTCCTCAAAGTCTTTTATATGGATTTGGTAAATGGGTATGCCTTAGTATAAAGTTTAGGTAGAATGTAAAATCCAGAGTATAGAAATGTACAGCAAAAGAGAGGTGCTTGCTTACAACCCTAACCCTTGTACCATTTGATATCTAGAGACACTGGACAGTTTCGACTTCTTACCAAAGTGTTACCCTTGTAGAAATGGCTGTACTATCTGAAGGGAAAGGCTCTCCCGCCTCCCTGCGTGATGGACTCCTCTACTCAAGTCTCCGAGTAGCTCTCTTCTCTGCTTCTTGGTGCTCCATCAGCAGCCGAGGACCTCAGACGCTCTCTCCCCACAAGTGTCTGGTCCTTCCTGTGACTAAGCCAGAGGTGAAAGCAGGTTGGAAGTGGGTGGCTGCAGCGATGGCATTTTGCAGACGGGAAGGCCGGATGACGAACCCCGCAGTGCAGAACCTGGCTCAAGGCCATATTCTGGGCCTCTGGGGTTCCCCAAATGCCAGCCCTCCCACTTCCCCCAGGCTCTCATCTTTTGGCCGTGCCCTGGCTTTTGTGCAGTCTTCCCTCTCCTCAGCGGCTAGCATGAGGCCCTTGAAGCTGCAGCGTGCGGATTTCCCCATCCCTTTTGTTTTTGGTACTTTGGCTCAATCCCTTTGGTGGGGCACATCTTGTTCGACTGGGACATGCCCCCCCCCCCCCGGAACTTCTTTGGCACGAAGTTCTGCCTTCCTTCTGAAAGCAGCGCGCACCCTTGGTCACCCTCTTCACGCAACGGCGCTTGTGAAAGGCCAGCTCCTTCCGAAAGGTTTCATACTCTTGAAGATGTACAAGGGAAGATCACAGAGGTCCACCTCAGTCCAATTCAAAGGGCTGGTCTAGCTAAGCATGGGACTTGCTGTCTGCTTTGGACTGGCAGTGGCTTCCTACCCACCGAGGCTCCTAGCAGCAGAGAAGTAGCATCTCCATGTATGCTCTCTGCCGTCCCTTTGAAAGCAATGCCAGGGATTGAACCTGGGTGCTTTTGCATGCAGATTATGTGCTCTACCATTGAACTATAACTTCTTTCAGTTGGGACGGTCTTTCCATTGTCTGTACACACACCCAGCCATGTGTTGGGGGGGAGGGGGGCGTTCCTGGCTGATTTCTCTGCAACAGTGCCAACTCTGTAGTACTACACCTCCAGAAGGGATCCATTTCTGTTTTTCTACTCTGATTTTTTATATTCATAATTAAAACTATCTGTGTGATGAAATGCCACATAAATAAGCTCAGCCAGATGTTCCAGGATAGGTCAAATGACATGCATTAAAGTCTTCCATCAGGCCAAAGATGTATGTAAGACCCCTTTTGTGTGCCCTGAATTTAAACACATACACACACACACTTGCAAATAAAGAGAAGATGCCAAAGGAAAGGAAAAGAAAGGAAAGGAAAGGAAAGGAAAGGAAAGTTTCCTTTATTGTGCAAAATTATGAAAATAGTGGAATTATGATCCATTATAGCTTAAGAGTCAGCTTGGTTTATACTGCCCTCTCTTAGCTTGCATCTTCCTTTGGCAAAGCGCTTAAGGCCGTGGCACTGAGGGTCCCCTCACAGAAGGCCTCACTTGCTATGTATTCTCATGGTGAATGGATTAGTTGCTTCTGCACAGATTGGCCTTCATTCAAGAGAAGTGCATAACTTCATGTACAGAAAAGGGAAATAAAGCAATACACTTTTGGCAAAAAAAGGGAAGATGAAACTGTAATGCGGGAGAACCCAGACAGTAAATTTAAAGAGTAGATTGTGTCCATACACCAAGTTTTTATTTAAACAATGCGTTATCTACCATTGGGTAATACAGACATGATCTGTCCCAGATGAAAATTGTGTGTTACGCTGTCCAAAGGCAGACTCATTTTGCTAAAGTGCATATAAGAATTATGGGGGAGGGGGATCCAACCGCGATTGCTGAACCACAAACTGGAAAACAATAAATGAAAGACTGGCTTGTACAACGATATTGTGTGTGTGCTCTGTGGGTGTGCATTTGCACAACACTAACAAGCTGCTATTCTAGCCTCATCAGCAACAAGAAAAGTCCCTCCTATGGAATGGCAGGTCACTTGGATCAGCCTGGAGAGCACAGTCCTGAGGCAATCGTAAACGCAGGTGGCTCCCTGTGTTACAAGCCCGATCCTGAGATATTTCTGGCCAGGCCCACATGTGGGGTTTTTTCACTTTTTAAATGGGTGCAAATGTTTGTGTTTTTTTCTGCAAAAGGGTATGAACTGCGGGTACCGTTTTGCCTGCTCTTGTAGAAGAGAATGTACATGTAGGCTAAGCAACACTCTTGCATGCAATCATTCCAGTACTCTAAACGCTAGAACACAATTGGTGTGTAATCTTGAAAAGTAAACATGTGATGCCAAGACCTGCACCAAGTGGGATGTTCCATGTTTTTCTATGAAAAGATCCCCATGCTGAATCATAAATAGCTCCTGAGATTTCACACAAGACAAGATGGAGCTGCTGCTCGAAGAAACTGCAGACCAAGCAACGAAAAGGCAGACAGAATTAGTTGTGCTGCTCTCTAGACATATGCCCAGTCTGTGTGAAGGAGCGAGCAATGGGCGGGGTGGTTCCTCGCCACCCACACTTAAAGGCTTGTCCTGAATTCCAGAATTTAATGTAGGCATAGAGTAAGCACTGATCAAAGGGAGGAGGGGGAGAATCTAACATGCTTTATAGAAACGGCGGCTAGCCTTTTTGACAAACGTATCTCAAATGAAGTCCAAATAGGAGATGGAGCTACCAATCTCTTTCCCACCGTTTTGCCAAGCTTTTGAGCCAGGGAGTGAGCAGGCAGCAGCATGGTGCGGAAGAGGCAAGCTGGAAGACCCCGGAGCTTGCGATTTGCCTTGCTCCAGATCTGCCATAAGCGTGTGCTGCCAGAGGTAACCATGTTGGCGATCGCCGTGTTTTATAGGAAATGGAAAGGAAATAACCTTGCTTAGAAGAAAACATATAAAACAGCTAATACAAAAACACAATGGCCTTTATTGTCTCAAGGAACCCAATTACGATTGTTTTGCCTAAAAAGTTTTATCTGCCATCATAAATACAATTTATTGGTGTCTGAAAAATGTTTGAAAATAATATTGTCCATATGCACTACTTAAAGAGTGTTTGGCCTTGCATAGACTTGTATGCAGTAAGAACAAGAAAGAAATCATGTAAACAGATTTTTAACAAGATACAATAAAGTACTTGCATCTGCAGTTCACACATTTCAGTGTCTAGTTACGTGAAAAGGCAAACTGAACAAGTCCCTTGATATACCTCAGTGACATGGCAAGTGGACAATAACTGCAGAAAAGTTGGAAAAGTATTATTTGGTCATCCAGGCTTCAAAACGATTATTTTACAACCACTGGCTGTTTCATGCTTGGCAAATCCTGCTCATTGTTTAATGGCATGTTTATCCAAAATATACAACTGACTATAGTATTAAAAAATTAAATCATTTCAAAGTGCATCAGGTCAGCTCTATCTGTCCCAAGAAATAGTACTTCCTACGGCTTTGAAAAGCATGTTAAGTACCAGGGAAACCGGGAGGCTCCCCTTTCGGGAATTATGAGCACTGCAGGTGTGGCAGCCAGGCCTTTGGGGCATCTCTCTGGGAGCCAGACCAGCAAGCCGTTCGCACCGTTACGTGGACCTGGTTTCCAACAGCGTTGCTGGAGGTCGCCTGAGACACGGCTAGCTTTCCCACTGTAAATTCCGCTAGACATCAAAAAGACACGTTAGAAAAAACTAGCAAGCACCCGCCTCCACCGTGTTCCCTGGAGGGAGCAGTTCTGGCCTCCAGAGACACGGCAGGAGGAAAGGATGTTGCCCCAGGGCATGCGGGAGAAGGGCACCTCTGCCAGTCGGCAGGTCTCCACAACTGCACCTTGAGCTTGGGCTCACATCAGACAGAAGTGTGCACTGGTGTGGCTGCGGGAGAGGAGCCCCGGTCCGACGACGAAGAGATGGACCGTGTCGCCGCTTCCCGCTGCAGTTCGTCCACTCTCTTCTGGAGCTCAGCTCTGATGGCAAGGAGTTCCTTTAGGTTCTGGTGAATTGGCACCTATCAGAGATTAACACAGGTGATTGCTTGCTGTGTATAAAATGCTCCGATTCACCTTTCAACCCAAGAAATGCAAAGCTACAACTTAAATATCAGGTACTCAGTACAATAATTTTACGCTGCCTTTGCATTACAGAAAGTGCACTGGGCAGATTTTCTAGATCATGGTAAAAGCAACAAGAAAATGCAAAATAAACGAAGAGAAAAGGCAGCAAAGAAGCTAATCTATATTGACCAGTGAAGGACATCAAAATTAAGAGCCAGGCAGATCAAATTCCCATGGGAATGTTAAGAGCCGAAGGCCCTTGCAGAGAAGGCAACATGGACCTCCCTGCCCCAGAATATAGACACAGGCACAGGTAAGGTCAATTGCCTGTTGAGCTGCCTCTTGGTGGTTCTTCCACATCAGTTACATCTTCATAAACAAATAGATGGCAAAGGGTTACAAGGAAAGGAGAAGAGGATGACAAAGGAAAGGTACGCTCTTCCGGTGTTTCCGTGCTCAGTTTTCCCATTGCTACAGTGGGAGAAATGAAAATACCTTTCTCAATATAGTAAATCAAAAAGAACTCAAAAAAGCCAAAGGAATTTTGTATATTGCAAAAAAAAAAAAAAAGGGCAACACGTAGTGTTGGCTCCAAGCTATATTAGTCAAGTGTGGATCTTGTACAATTTGGGGATACACGTTAGATCATTTCAGGCAAATCAAGGAAAAGGAGGGGAAGCAGTGTGAGAAGAGGTGCAGCAACAGCATAAAAGATGCAGCTGGAGTTGGGCATTCCCTGGCATAAGGTCTGGGTGAGTTTCTGGATTTCTAAACGTGCTGCAAATTTGTGTGCTTGGTTTAGTACACTGTAAGACTTTGGTGGCCCGGGCTTTCTGCAAGAAAACGGATTGTTGCAGGGATAGGATAATCTCCATTGCTTTGTCTTCCAAAGGAATCTGGTGCGAAATTCTGTGCAGCCCCTTGGGGAGAAAGAAAGTATCTGGGAAGCTCTTCCCAGCGGGAGCTGGGAACAAACAGCAAGCACTTGCCCTGCAGGGCCCTGCAGCTGGACCGTCCTAAGCCCGACTGTCCTGCACAGCAGACAGCGGGAGCCTGCAAAAGGGATGAACAGACGCAACTCCTCCTTCGCCAGCCCTTTCCTATCTGGAAGAAGGTCAAAGGATGAGAGAGGGTCATTTGCAGGCAGTCTCTTGAAGCCCCCTGGGTGAAAACCAAACCAGTTCTGGCTTATGTTCACTGCAGTCTGTGCCATGCTGGATTCCTGAATAGGTGCATCTCTCTCCCTTTGTGAAATGCCAGTGTCACTGTGGACGGCTTATGGTCTGCTGCTAGGCAACACTTTGCAAGCGATACACAGTTCCACCTCTGCAGCTGAACAAGCTCACCGCGGGGAAGGGCGGCAGGCGCACACCTGTGCTCCCGATTTCATTTTTCCATATGGGGCCGTTGCCCCAAAGGTGGACAAGCCCTCCGGTCAGGTTTCTAACTCCTCCAATCATTTTGAGAGAAAAATGCCATCCGTGACCCAAGCTAGCTGTAACATTGATTAGGCAACCACTCAATAACTCACACAGTTATTCCCTAAATAACTTAATTAAGCTTCAAATATATTAAAAGTCATTAGCACCAATAAACAATAAGATTAATCTTTCTGCTTTACTTCTGCAAATTAACTTACTTCTAAAGGTATTGCTCATTCCAATGTATTAAAAGAAATGCAAAGAGATTTCTTGTTTGTTTAGAAGGAAAAAAAGATGATGGAAAAATAACTACAACAGAAAAATAACTGCTAATTACTAGCTATTAAAAGACCATGAGAAATGTCTGTCTCAAGGAGACTTCAGCAACAAAATAAGCCGTTTCTTAGAAATTTAAGAATTGCCTGACGGATTTACACCAAAGGCAAGGAGGAGCACCCAGCCTTTGAGCAGATGGTTCCTAAGAGAACCAAGTCCTACAGCACCTGCCCAGGTGAGCAGCTGCTTCTTTCTCCTGTGCCATCATTTCCCCCCATCCTTCGAGCATGGTCTGGAAAAGATGCATACGGCTTGCAACCAACTAATATGGAAGGCAGCAGTGGGTTTATTTCCACGGATTATGCCGCGTTCTCCGTTGTGTCTCACTCAACCCACCTGTGTGTGGAAGCATTCATTTTGCAGTGAGTTAGCGATCGCAGCAACTCCACTTCTGTGTTTCATAAAGCTCTGACATATGGCTCCCACTGGGCAGATAATTCTAAGAGCCGAACGTGTGGGTCACAAGTGCTAGCTGTGCACCAGTGCCATGGGCGTGACAGCATTAAAAAGCCCTAGAAGGGGGTCTGTGCAGCCAAAACAGCTGCTTTTCCACGGCTCAAGCTACCTCAGACCTGCAGAGGTCCAATGGCTACTTCAGTGCAGGTAAAAGAAGATCTCCAAGGAGACTGCACCTACTTTGCTCCGCTCATTCAGCACAGTGAAGTGCATCGGAATCACAAAATACACACCAACATGGAGTGGCATAAAAAGCAATATAATAGCTCCGCACAGTGCCACCAGCTCTTAATTGTATGGAAGTGACTGTATATTCTTGCACTCTCCTTTACAAGCTCAATTCAGAGGAAAATTGTTCAGCGGTGAATTCGTTTCTTCTTCTATAGCCCCTTTTAAAGAATGGTTTTAGAACTAGGAAGAAAGGCCGCTGTAGAATAATATGACTATTTTAAACTACTGCTTGATCTACAGCCTGCTCTCGTCCTCATTCTTGAAGCCACTGTGTGGCAAGAGGGTAAGGCTTGGCAGCCAGCTCCACTCTTCCTTTGGGCGTCTGGAGACACAAGTGGGGATTCACTCCAACCAAAAGTTAGAGCTGGTCACAGAGCCACCCTGGTCTTTCGTGCAGCTCTGTGTTTCCCTCTGGCTGAAAAGGGTTTGGCAGGCTGCTGGATCAGAGATGGCGGTGAGGTAAGCAAGAACGTAACGGGCTGGTCAGCCACCAACCGTGTGTGTTTCCCCTCCACCTCTTTCCTCGACCTTTTATGTCCTGCCTGCCTGCCTGGTACAGCCCCTCAGTCCCAAGCGGAGGGAAATCAAGCAGGCCTGCAGGTTCGGGTTAATTTGGTAAGTTACAAAGCCATTCTGCAGGCCAGCTGTACATCCCGGACAGAAGCGGCTTAGACTTGTCCCTTCAAGTCTAAACAAAGGAGAGAAATCCTTTTCTTTCCCCATCCTAGTAAAAGGTGAGTGAGTGAGTGTGTGTGTGTGCGCACACGCGCATATATTTTGCTGCTGGAACTAGACTGTACCAGCAAAGGCCCTAGAATCAAGGGTCACTGCAGACCCCTGCGTCTTGCTTCTCAAGTCCCTCTACTTGGCACTGTAACAGCAACTGTTAGGCCAGGATGGCAAGGCAGCCCTGGGACACCTCCATTCCTTGGACATCTCAAAATGAAAGCATGCTACCAATGTGTGGTTTTGTCTGTCTCTCCAAATCTGATATTCTGATGGACTGAAGCAACAATGCCCTGCAATGTCAAGGAGGAAAGCTGTGTAAGTTTTAAAACCCCCATTTTTCCAAAGTGTGCTTCTGCTAGGTCCTAGAAATGCAAACTGCACCACTACAAAAAGTGCCAGAATTAGATATAACCGCAGAGCAATTACATGCTTAGGAAGCCTGAAAGGAAGAGACGATATGAGAAGGAAAGAAGGAACAAAGGCATCAGTGGATCCTAGGAAGCAAAGCAACTTCGGAGAAAAAAACTACTGCCAAGACTGGGAAGACAGGAAAGCAACATTGTCGTTTTCGGATCATAAAACCTATAAGAAGCTGGCTGTATACACTCAGATTGTGAAAAAAACAGATGATTTTAAGCTGGAAAATGGGCGTAAAATGGCAAAATGGTGCCGGAAACTTGTGGTGCTGCACATGCTTTGAGGCTCACCTGTTTCGCTCTACACTCAGAAGAGTACTGACAAAACAGACTGCCCTCCACCCAGCCACTGCACACACTGCGACGGGTCGCCTCTTTTACCAGCTCTGCATTTTGACAGCGTCACGGCAGTTTCCACGCTGCTGCTGCTGCTCAAGGCCCACCTGAGCTGTCCCAGCGGCAATCCTGCACGTTTACTCAAAAGTGTAGTTACAATTATGCTTAACGGAGCCTGCGCCCAGATAAGTGGTGCTTACACCCAAGCAGAGATGCTCCCTCCAGCTGCCATCCACACAATGCCTTGGCCCAAAGCCTTCTGGGTCGAGATGCTGCGGCTGCTCACAGAGAATTGCTGCAACTAGAATTCCTCTCACTGGGATACTTTCATGACTATCAGAACCCTCTCTCAGCAGATGGGGACTTCAAGGCAGGTTGTAATACTGGGTCCCCTTCTCCACTGCACTACATGAGGCATGCCAAGCGTAGGTGTTTTTCATGGGATGCATCTTTTCCCAAGAGGCACTGCTGGGTTTCCTTCCCAGCTTACCACTGAAGTACTTGGGGGGGGGGGGGGGATTATCTCACGCACAACCCCAGCATGTGTGACCAAATTTCTAAACGGAAGTACTCCCATGCAGAAAACATGGCGCCTCCAATTGCAGTCCTTCCCTGTAAACCGTATTCCATTTTGGCAGTTTGAATGATAAAACGTCGGCTTATAAAATGTCATAGAATCACAGAAGAGTTGGAAGGGGCCATCAAGGCCACCTAGTCCAGCCCCCTGCTGTTGCAGGACACCAAGTTACCCCATCCCACTCAGATGGTTCCAGTTTCTTTTTGAATGTCTCCAGTGTGGGACAGCCCACCACCTCTCTAGGCAGCTGGTTCCATGTCGAGCAAACGATGTGCTTTATATCTATGTATTGAAATGTTTGCTTCTGGTCAGAGAGGTTCAGGACAATTTGCTGGTTCACTTGTTGAATGCTTGGCAAATTATCATCACTGGCTGATTTCAAAATATTTGCATACATTTCTGTTGCCAGGTTTTGTTTGTATGTTTTTTAAGTGGGCTTTTTTTATTTCCATGGCAACATGCTAGATGCTGATGATTTGCTGCAGCTATACATGGATGTCATTCTCATGTGATGTTCTACACCAGAGATAGGAGATGTGGTTCCCACAGACACCTGTGCACTCTAGATACCTGTTTTAGCACCTGCAAAGACCCCCTACTTCTTCCAATGTAAAAAAGCAAACACCAAGTTCTTACCAGAAATAAGAAATAACTACTGAGAAATAAGCAGGTGGAGCAGGTGCAACCACTGACTGAGGCAACTCAGCCTTGTCTTCCGTCTTTAGGTGCAGCACTTCCCTACCAAGTGGAAGCCGTTTATTGCATCCCTCCATAACACTTGTGATCCAAACATTCAAAAATTATGTCAATGAGTCTATGTCAGGTGCAGGGCACTTTCTGCAGGATGTGAGGCCAAATTCCAGGCCATGGTGGCACCCGCTTTCTCTTTAGCGTGTGCAGAAGATCCAGATCTACTGATCAAAACCTTTAGAAAATTCTCTGCCTACTCAACAGCATAAGGTTCCTGCAATGTTACAGTTTTTAACTGACTGGTTTCTAAAGGAATCCACCCTTAGGAAAGAAAAGCTGAAAAATAATCACTGAAGGTGTTAAGGTATTCCGGAGAGGAAGGTTCGGTGCCTTTACTAGCAGTCGTAAAAGGGAAGTCTGCTTTCAGAAAGGGAAGAAAAAGAAGCGTCAGCACAAATGGATAAGACCAGCTTGGCAACAGAATGAGACCTTCTAATAGGTCCTGCGAGGCGATCGGCGATTATGCAGCATGTGTGTCCAAAACTTCCTTCCCACACAGCAACAGCAACCCTAATGGTGAAATGGTTTAGTGCTAGCTGGTGATGATTCAGGTCTTGTCGCCTGCCTTTTGAAAACGGAATTCCCCAAATATCCAATCCTATTAAGCATGTGCTAGCCCAGCTGGATCTTATCCCACAACTTCTTACGTGGGTTCTTACTCCAGCAGTGGCCGGGGATGGCAGAACAGTGCCCCACCAGCACCAGCAGCTGAACTCTCGCTCATTCTCAACATGCCCTTTTGTCTAGCAACTGCCGATCCTGGGCTTCGCACTGGCATGTGGCTTGGGCAGGGCAGCCTAGGTGTTTTACTGTCCCCAGGTCTTGGACTCCAGCATCCACAGCACGGGCACAGACTGCCTTGGCTCCAGAAAAAGGACGGGGAGGGAGATGGCAATGGTCCCGTTGCCACAGGAAGTGGACGGGAGCCACAGCCGCAGCTCAAATAAAGCAACACTGAACTCGTGGGAGATAAAGCAGGCAAAGCCACCACCATTTACATAGCCTGGGGTGAGGTGAGAGACGGGTGCTGGGCGCTGTCTGGATCTTCTGTGTGTCTCAGAAGACTTGGGGTCGCGGCATGCGATTGGTGGCAACTCATGGTAATCACTCGCTATGGAAGCAAGCCAACATTTTGCGGCCCTTCGATGGGCATACAGGTCACTTCCTTCCACAGCCAGAATGTAATGAGTCACCTTGAGATGAAAGGGATGGACAGAGCTCCTAGTCCTAGCTTTGAGGATTCACCTTGCACTCAGGGCCCTGAAGATGTCCGCTCCTCGCTTACTGTTAGAAACGAAAACGCAGTGCTGTGGAAGCCTAACTTTGAAAAAGTAGGCAAGCCTGTTTCCAAGAGAGCATGAACACACCTACCTGGGGCCGCATTCGAGGATTCCACCGCACGTAGTAGTTTACCCAGAGTTCCAGGTGGCTTAAGCTGGCAACTGGATACAGGACGTGGTTTTCATAGTTCACATAGAAAGGGTTACTGAATTCGTCAAGGTGATTATTGATGTAGGACCACAGAGACTCTGTCTTTGTGCTTGTTTCCTGAAGGAGATACATGAGCATCTTGTCAGGCACACCTGCAAAAATGCTACGCAGCAGTACAGAGTTTTGGGCTTCCTACACTTAAGGAACCATTTCTGCAATCAGAGACAGCAGCCAGTTCCTGTCTACCATAGGAGGCTCCACAGGCACCTGCTGGAGCGTGTTCCCAGGCTCATCTCCTTGGTTTTTCTGTTGCCTCTTGAACTCCCAGTGAGCTGGCTGAGCAAAACACCCAAAGATTTCCGTGAAAGTGAAGGCTGACAAAAATGAACGAATCGCCTGTTGGGCTACCACCACAGTTCCCTTCCCTGAGGACCCATCCATAAACTTCCATGGAATTTCAGCACTCGGGGGAATGCAATTCCAACAATTTGACAATGGACCGATCCATTACAAAAGCTTTCCATTGAGAAAATTATATGTTGAGTTCCTACGCTAAACAATTCAAGAAGCAGTAATTCTGTGATGAGAGCTTTCAAGTTTGACTCTACTGAAAAAAAACTTCAATTTGGAAAGCTGCATTTCTGCCTCCATGGAGAATTAATTTAAAAGTGGGATAGAAATTGAAGCATATTAAAGAAATAATGGACTTGGAGTACAGCAGTGGTGTCACTGAATACCATTAATTACAAGTAAAAAGAGAAAGAAACAAAATAGAATGATCCACAAAGAAAAGCTCAGTAAAAGCAAAACTTTAAGAAAATAGACAGACACTTTCCTACAATCTCCCTGTGCCCATCTACGCATTATGTTCTAACTAATTTTTCATGTTTGAGCTTTATTCGTTTTTAATTCTATGACAAAACACAACATCACCATAAAACCATTCTTAAATCAATGCTTTGGAATCAGAATTCTTATCAGCTTCATCTTGCAATTTTATACTCCTTCAGTGCTATAAGGCATCTGTTTCCACTACAGTTGTCTCCTAAATTGCTTTCCTTTTTCTTTCTTTCTTTTTTTAAAGGGAGCTGCATTAGATTATCCATTCATGAGAGGGAGCTGTCTCGTAGGCACAGACTTGGTAAGAATGCATAATTCAGCCCCATCTTGTGGTGCAATCATGCAATTTGCTGTGTCGGATCAGCCACTTAAGCAAAAACACAAAGGGACTGTTTGTATAAACATTTTTCTTCATGGGCTGCGAGGGGAGCGAGCTCCTGCCTCACATGCGCTGCCCGCCTGCCCTCGCTGAGCACGAAGTCATGGGATTCCAGCGGATGCTGCACTCAAGCCTTCTGAAATGTACCATCTGTGTCCTTCGTTCATCTCGTGCATCTTCAGGGAGACCCTGGCTACAAATAAACCTTGGACTGAATGTAAAAGGCCACCTTCTGGGGCCCTTCTGTCCACGGAGCCCAGCTCCGACTGACGGAGCTTCTTCTAGCCCCTGTGCCCTTTAACTGGGGAGCAAACCAGGGACCCACACGTCAAGTGCGTGCCTGCGTTGTTTGCCCTGAAAGAAGGAGAGGCAGCGCCTGAACCTTTCTTCCACCCAGCTCAAGGGAAGGAGGATTTCTGAATGGGCAGAGCCAAAGAATCAGTCAATGAATACAAACCTGGGTGAGGAAAGGAAGTTCTGTCAAATCTGCACTTTCTTGCTAAAAGTCAATAGCTCCCACAGCAAGCACCAATGGGGCTCATTTGCAAATTATACATACATCATTAACAAGTCACAGCAAGAAACAGCATCTGGCATAAACCAGGGCTTGTAGTTTTGGCTACAATTGCTAACCGATTTTCAGAGAGGAGATGTGTTTTCATCAATGATTCAGAAACGGTATTTGTGCTATCTGATGCCTATTTTTGCACATCAAGAGGAATATGAAAATTCATTCCTGTGTGACATTTACATACTTTCAGCTCTGCAGAACAGGCAAAATAACCGCAAAATATCCTTTGCCTCCTATAAAATCATTACACAGATGATTTACCTCTTTTATTCGCTGATGTTCAGAGTTGTATAAAAAGGTGCCAAAGAGACAGCTATAAAGATGATCCAGAATGGTGATCAAAAACAGCTCATTGAATTCAAATGCTGCAGGAAACTAAAACAACAAAATATATTGTTGCATTTTTGATAAGGAAAAACAAACAACCTTGTTTTCATTCCATTTATATTCTCTACCTTTCACACACAGACATGTATGCACAGACATACAGAAAACATGAATCTTCTACTGAGCAGATCAGGGCAAATTTCCTGTTTTGAAAGGGGGTGGGGTTTGGGAGTATGCCACCAAAGGAATACCAAATTTCTTAGGAGCAGAAGAATTCTTTTATGATTGCAGAATTCAGGCACGTGTACATATTATGTCATACTTTTCCATGCAATATACACTGCAAATGAGATAATAGAACTTCACCTGACTCCCTCAATTACATAGTAGTTTGGTAAAGAAAAACAGTAATAAAAATAGTTATTGGATCTGGAAGGCTGCCTTCTTCCAACCTCCATCCTCCTGCTAGCGGGCCAGACAGACTAGCTAAACGCAGACCCACTTGCCCACCTTCATTCGTGGGGCAGAAGAGACTGCCCAGTGGGGCACAGCTGAGGCTCTTCTGCAGTCTCGTGAATTCACCGAAAGGAAATTAAGAGTCTCTTTCAGAGGCTGAATCATTCCGGATTGTAATTCCTCCAAAGAGTCATCAGTGCAGTGTTTTACCCAACTCAGCCTCATTGGTTGCACTGCTGCTTGAAACCATTTTGAAACCATGTTATACTTTTGGAATGTGGATGTGACTTCACTGAGCAAAACCTGAGTCTTTGTAAGCTAGCCGTTAAAACTCTTCCCTGTGATATGAGCCGGATATGTGGAAAACATTTATCCCACAATAGTTCTGCTGCATCTAGAACTGAGGATGTGGGGGAATTGCCAGGTGCTGGTAAAAGTGGCACCAACCATGTCCACTTATGTTTGTGATCTTCTGTTGTCCTTTCCCTACACCTCTGACAATGTAATTCCATTCTTTTAAAGGCAAAAGTATAACTCACCCAGTAGCTTGTGCAAGTGAGTTGCCCATTCCCTTTGTGTTGGGAAAATGGGTTTTGGGAAAATTTTGAAATCTAAGGGTTTCAGAATCATATCAATCCCAACAGGACACCAAATAAATAGAAACAGAGTTAGTCAGAGTTCATTTCGCTGTTTAAGCCCCTGGTATTTTTCTATTTTCACTTTGTTATTTTCTACTTAAAAACACAGAAACAGAAGGTGCCTCCCCGGCCATCTAGTCTGACCCCTGGCACAAGTCGGTTCTGCTCATACAATGTCCAGCATATGGGTGCCCAATCTTTCCATGAACACCCTCACTGATGGGGCTTCCACCTCCTCCTGTGGAAGCCCATTCCATATCCTAGGGGTCCTAACCATCAGGAAGTACTTCCTGACATCCAACCTGAAACCCGGAAAAACGTAAAAACCAAAAGGTGTTCTCTGGGGGTGAACCAGTGGGAGAGAACTTTATAAATACAATATATTTTAATTCAGCAGGGGCTCATGTAATACATTGGTCAAATTAAAAGTAACTCCAAAGTAATCCCTGTGAAGAGGCTCTGAACTGCTGCAAATATAGAGTAGCTAAGAACTAGTACAAGGGAAAAATAGTAATTCCTTCATACTATTACAGCGGGTTGGTACATTCATAATGGTCTGGATACTTAGATTAAGACACTGTGCTCTCGGAAAAAACATGACAAGCCTATCTTATGAACCATGTTCTAATTTTTCCTAAATATTTCAGTCCCCTCCCCATCCTGTAGCCTCTTCAAACCTCTTTCTGGATGCAAATTTTGCACACATGTGCAACAGGCAAAGTTGTTTCCCCATCTTTTACTAGAGGGAAACTAAAACCTTTTATAGTGAGAAAAGAAAAGAAAAGAAAAGAAAAGAAAAGAAAAGAAAAGAAAAGAAAAGAAAAGAAAAGAAAAGAAAAGAAAAGGCTGTTTTGAGTTAAGGATCTTGTCCCTAAAGGGGTTTTGTTCTTCCAGATGTTTAAAGCATTTTCAATACTTTTCTTCTAACCAAAGACCACATGCCATTCCTAGGAGGAAGCAAGGTCCGACGTATCTTTAATTGGCCATGCTACAGAAAGCAGGATAAAATTAAACATCTTATGCATGCAAAGTTTAACAATACCAAATCAGAGAAAACTAAGCCCACTCTCTGGGCACGGCTTCTAAAGGCCAGGTTGGCTCACGTTAAAACCTCCCTCATCCTTGATTTCATAGTGCATGAGGCAGTGAATCTGGCCTGCATTACCAAGGAGGGGGAGTTCACAGGGAGCAGTTTGTCCAGCTCAGCAGCAGGGCAGATCTGAGGGCCAAAGAGTCAGGGAGCATGTGCTCTCCCTGCGCGCGCTCTCTCTCCATGCGCCCCGGCTGCCTGGCTACTAGTTTGGAGCATGTGCCTCTTGTGCTGGGCCAGGTTAGGCACTCTGCTGGTGCATCAGGCCGTTCAGCAGTGCAGCCGTGATGCTGCGGTCCCTGGAGTGCTGGTGCTGAGGGACATCAAGGGCACCCTCTCTGGGGCTGTCCCGGCCCCTCGGCAGGGAGGGCCTGCCCTGCCCTCAAGTGGGTTTCCCCAGCCAGGCAAGGGGATGGTGGCTGAAAGTGGGGGACTATGGGTTGGTCCCTTTGTCATGGTCAGACTATTGCCCACGGAGATTTAGACTAATGGCGACTTTTCCCCTCTGCAAAGGCAGAAAAGCTATTAAGACAGTTCATCCCTGGAAGCGACTGGACCTGGCCGATTTCCAGGTGGCCACTGGAGGCTTTCTAGCACATACCACTGCTGGTGTTGTTGCATCCCTGCCCAGTCTTCAGAACACAGAGGTGACCCAAGCAGGTGACACACCCCTGCAGTAGAACTTGTGCAGCTCTGTGGTGCACCTCGGACCTAACGGTGATGAAGCAAAGCAGGAAATGGCTTGAGGGCAGATGGGGGGAAACTCCCAGTGGGTGCAAGTCAGCCTTGGTATGCTGTTAATATATAGCATTTTCAAACTGTTTATTTTATATATGCAATATTTCAATATGCTTTATTTATTGTTTGCGTACTGCCTTGTGAAGCATCCCGAAGGCCAGTTAGAAATCTGTTGTATTTATTAACAGCATCACCAAGAGCAAAGTGAAAATTAGGTACCTTTATATTATGCTAAATGAGAATTGCATACCTTTATGATGCTGTTTAATGTCAAGAGAATCTCAGATAGCATCCACTCCTGTAAACCACAGCAATGGGTACAGTGCAGTACGCTGCATTAATTGTCCTGAATAGGCAAATCTCAGAGATGGTATGTAAGAATTAGATGTTTTTGATATGGAAACTGGCTAGGTCATCACGAGGAGGCTACCGACAGCAGTTTCCTAGTCAAACTGATCTTGTAGATTTTTGATCCAGTTTATCCATACCATGTAAACTCAAAGTAATTAGAAATTCCTATAAACCTTTCCCTTTATCATTTGCTTCTTGCTTTGGATTTTGCCATGTTGCCTTAAAGATATTTTATCATGCCACTGCAAAAATATTTGCAGAACATTCTGTTGAAGAATAATCTTTAAAAAAAAATCCTTCTGGGACCTAAAGGGCCTCTGTTCCAGCAGAAAAACAAGCCCCAGAGGAGATTTGGAGAGGTGACACGCGAGGACCGGTAAAAATAAATAAATAAATCAACCCCCCCCTTCCATTAGCCAACACTGGGAGCAGACTTTTGATGACCTGAACTCCGCTCATGGGATCATGAGTCATTTATAGACACTGACCTTGCAGCAGATGCTTCTTAAGCGCAACCGTCTTCATGCTTAGCAAAAGTCCTACAACTCCCAGCATTCCTTAGCTAATGCCTCTGCTATCTAATCATGCTTAGGTTTGCACCCTCAGTCTCCCAAAATGCAAGCATGGATATATTCCAGATGACAAAAGACGTGTCCAATCATTTCTAAAACACCAAAGATATTAAAGTCTAACAGCTCTGAAAACTACTTTCTCTGTGCTGAACTACATAGATACAAAATTTAATCCAGAACGTGCTTCACTTCTGCAAAGGAAATATGAGTGCCTTGTCGATCAGAAGTAAAGCGTTCATCATACACCTGCTCTTACCTGCTTTGTCACTTGCCACACACAGTCTATGAACTGAAGGAAGATGGGGGACCTGTCAGCATCAGCATGATGATCGTCTCCGTGACCTACTCGCTAGTTGGGCAAAGCAAAAAGAATCCTATGAGCAAAGCTTTTCCTCAAAAGTATGGATTTTAAATAACCTTTCAAGAATAAGGAAGGGCTGCATTATAAAAACTCGTTTCTTCAAACAATTAAGCACTAAATCTCTACCCTGAACTAAATCAGCCTCACGGCACCCTTCCAAAAGAGCTTCAGCTATTGGGTGGCACAGAAATAAAATAAAACCAGCACATGCAGGAGCCTGCTGGGTTAAAAAATGGGACTTAAATTAAAAAATGGCAGAAGCGTTGTAGAAATTTGTAGGAGGCACAACCCAAACTCTTTCGAATGCGCTGTGATATATCTGCACAGGCTCAGCGGTGAGTGAAAACTGGAACAGGGCAGCCAAGTGCAGCTAGGCGTGGGATTCGCAGCAGAGACGACAGGGTCATGGTGAATGTGGCCATTATTTCTGTGAGTCATGGAAGCAGTCTTCCCCTAGTTACTGTCGACAGCAGTTCTCATCACAGAGCTGGAAGTGGCTTTAGAGATCATCTAGTCCAACCCCCTGCTCAATGCAACTTCTGCACTTCAGGGTATAGGTAGAGCATCTTTGGCAGGTGGCCGTCCAGCCTCAGCTGAACCACTTTCAGCGAAGGAGCCTCCACCACCTCCAAAGGCAATCTGTCTCACAGGTGAACAGTTCCGGCTGTTAGATACCTTTTCCTAACCTTTAGCTGAAATTGGCTTCCACCTGTTGGTTTTGATCCTGCCCCCTGGAGTAAAAGTAAAAGCAGAGTAAAATCTGCTCCATGAATAGCTTGACAGCCTTTCAGATATGCGAAGACCACTGTCAATGCATTCTTTTCATCTTCTCTTCTCCAGACTGAATGGACCCAATGTTTCCAACTGTTCTGCCTAAGACATGGCTTTCAGATGCCTCATCATCTTGGCAGCTCTCCTCTGGACACGCTCCAACTTACCAATGTCCTCCTTAAAACGAGGAGTGCAGAACTGGATGCGGTATTTGAAATGGAGACTACTTCAGAAGGCAGTGAATGAGGCAGAAGATGCCTGAGAAAAGGGGATGGAGCAGCAGTCACCGCTCCTGCGAACTGCAGAGAGATTATTTTATTCCCACAGAGAGCAGTGAAACGTCTTCACTAGGATGGTGCGGAGTTAGGGGATACGATTTGCTGCTGTCAACCAAACTGTTCAGTTCCTTGTCACCGGGGGGAAAAGAGTATGGTTGCTTCCAGTTCCCAAGTAAACTATGCGTTTCTTTCTAGAGGGTGGCCTTCGTTTTCTACCTGCCCCTCTGCATTACACTTACCATCGCAAACCGATGCCCAAAGCCTATCCACTCTTTCTCTATGAGGACTTCAAAGCCCTTGATCGTTCTGTAATAGCTGTCCAACATAATCATGGCTAAAGAGGTAAGCTGAGCTGTACGGTCCCAGCCGTCACTACAGTGCACCACGACTGATGTTTTACCGGACTCAATTTTGTCGGCGATTCGTACTGCCCCAGCAAGAAGCATCTGTCGAAAAAAAGAAGCATTCCAGATTGAAGTGTTACACCAAGGCAAGCTGTCAGCAAGATCACTCTAGCCAGGATTTCATTTCCTAAAAGGCAAGCCAAATAGGCCCAGGACCTCCCAAGAAGGATTTAGTGATGGCATTTCCCTACTGCTCGTCCCCAGAGTTTGGTATTCAGAGGTGCACTGCTTCTGAACACAGACATTTATTTCAGTTATCGTGTGAACAGCTCCTGGCAGGGTTTTCCTCCACGAAAAGGAATCAGAGCACTGAATACTTCCAGTGGTGTAAGTTCCCTGCTGTCAGCACTTCCCCATGCAGAAGTGTGAACGAGTCTTATCAGAATAACAAAACTAATGCACTTAACAAATACTTGGACTTCACTGAACATGAGTCTTAAATGCCAGGTACACACAAATCAGGATTATGTGACTCGCCTACAGCAGCAACTGATGAGGTTAGGAGAACCAAACCCCTATTTAATACACGCACGCGCACACTCCCTAAAGCGATTCCACTAAAAAGGCATTTTACAAGACAGTCACAACTAGCCTGAGCAAGTGCTGTATTTAACTAGAATACTTTGAAAGTTGGTTAACAATCTGAAGTATCTGCAAAGCCGTAACAGAAGTCTCAGGACTTGTCCCTTTGTCTGCCTCTTCAAGATAATTCGCGACTGAACGTTCTGCTGCCAATACAATGTTAGCAATCCATAACAGAACTAGTAGGATACGCTGAATATAATCTGATGATCTCCTGGACAGTATACAACAAAAATTTCCATTACATTTATCATTTCCATTAAGTGCTTGGAATTAACCGCCATAACTTTATCAAAATTAATCAGTCTGGTGTGGAGAAAAGAAAATAAGCCAAAGCACCTGATTGCAACACTGAAAAGTTTCCCATTCCCAAGTCAGCATCTGCCTGAACTGGCATCCATGGAACTTGTGCTTTGATACCTGGAAAATACCCTGAATAAACCCTGACACTGCTTGACTTTGCTGGAAAACGGTGAAAGGTCCACACTGTTTACAAATGAAGGGATCCTGGAAGTGGGCCAGGCAGAACTGTCGTTCCTGTGGCAGTTTGCCAAGGAGAGAGGAGGGAGATTTACCTCCATGTGCCTGCCAGATGCTCTGTGTAGCAAGGAAAGAGCCATGTCCAAGAGTGAAAACGATCCCTGCTAATTCCTAACAAGATACGAGACCAGGGGGAGCACAGCAAGGAAGGGAAGAAGCCATCAGACAGGATTTCCGTGATTCTCAGGCAAGTTGCTACCCTTCCGTCTTAGGGCCTAAAGGGCAATACCAGGATTTCCACACTGAGCTGCTTCAAAGGGCTGTTCTAAGCATCGTGATAACTGTGGGACACTCCGTTTTCTAAAACGGGCATAAACTCTAGATCCTCTGTGGCTTCTAGCCCTCTGGATGTCAGCCACGTCTGAAAAATCCACGTGGCAGAAGCAGCCCCCGACTTCCTGGCCTGGACAGTTATGGGCTCCACTGCGTGCTTTGGTCTGGGAGTGCAGGCTGGTTTCTCTGAGAAGGAGCTGCTTGCTGCCCCATTGCCATGGTCAAGAATGCCCAAAGCCAAGCGACCGCTAAGCGAGGGGGAAAAGAGCCTCTTCTCTTGTTCTAGGACAGAAGGCCTGCATATGGAAGTTCAGCTCACCCTGCTGAGACTGTCAACGCATTCTGACACGCTTGCATGTCAGGGTAGGATGCAAATCGGTGTAAGAACATAAAGAGTTAAAACTAAGTCTTACTTCTGATTTGGTCTGAAACATGCACTTTGGCCACCTAATGAGAAAGAAGGACTCACTGGAGAAGACTCTGGTGCTGGGAACGAATGACAGCAAAAGGAGGAGGGGACGGCAGAGGTTGTGGTGCATGGATGGGGTTACTGGGGTGGGCGATGTGGGCTTGGGTGGATTCCGAGGGATGGTGGAGGACAGGAGAGCCTGGAGGAATGTTGTCCATGAGGTCATGAGATATCGGACATGATTTTGCGACTAAACAACGACGACAACACACTAGCAGTGTACTTTGATAGAGCATATGCCCTGAAAACCCCACATTGTGATTAGGGCATTCCTCTCCATGAACTTTTTCTGCCGAACTGTCATGAGAATGCCTGAAGAGCAAGGTCACTGAATTCTGACATTTCAAAGAACGCAAGAACGAAGAACATAAAGCAGAGATTTCATCAAGCCCATTACCCGTATGTATTCCAGCCAGTGTGTGCTCTCCACACTGGACAGCCAGCGAGACTCATCAATCGTGGGGTAAACAATTTCCTTCAGCTTACGCAGCGATTCTCTCATCACATGGATGTTTGGGATTTCCAAGAAGATCAACTCCACATTTGGATAGGCGCTTTCACTTTCATAGCCACCTCCTTTTGCCTGAAAGACACGCCCCAGTTAAAACCCTCTCAAAGGATCTGAAGCCTTTCTAATCTCATTGAGATGATTCTAGACTCATTTCAACTTTTTAAAAGTTAAGCATCTCAAGCGTCGGGAAAGAGGCCATTTGTCTGCTGCAAAGGTCCCCATGCGATTTGTCGCCTTAGCTTACTTCTACCTTATTTGTATCAGCGACGCTGTTCTGCCTGGCATCAAAGATGAAGAGTTTGTGTGACTGAGCGTTGGCATCCATGACGGTCTGCAGGTACTTCTCATCTTCTTTGCAGCGCTTGTCATTCGGACCTACGAGAGGCTGGCTGCAACGTGTGATCGTGGCCTGGCTCTCAGGATGGATCCAAGACAACACCTGGGTTACAAAAAACAGGCACACTGATTGATTGATTGATTGATTGATTTTTCGATTTATATCCTTCCTTTTTCCTACAAAGGGCTCAAGGCAGCTTACACCATTCTCCTCCTCCATCTTACCCCCTACCCTGTGAGGCAGGTTGGGCTGAGAGTCTGTGACTGGCCCAAAGTCACCCAGTTGGCTCCATGGCCAAGCGGGGACTAGAACCCAGATCGCCTGAGTCCCAGTCCCATGCTCTTAACTACTGCACCAAACTGGTCTCCAGTGCAGACGAAGAAAACTGTGCATACTTGAAGCAACTCATTTGTCAAATTAAAAGCAGTAAAAGTCACAAGAAGATGAGAATGAATGACAGTAAGCACGGGGTGAACCGGAGGGCACTGTTTAAAATAAAAAAGCTACAAACGCTAAGATTGTTTTTTTTTGGGGGGGGGCATTATATCAAGAATCAAGCAAGTAGTTCTGTATACATAGGACTGCAATCTGGTGACCTCTGGAAGGATGTCTCAGGTGTCACAGGACTGGCAGGAGGGGCTGCCAGAGTTGCACTCGAAGGGGCTTATCCAATGCTGGATTCCCATTTCTAGCCCCCATAGGAACCTCCACCTCCCTTACACCTTCCAACCTTGAAAGAAGTAAAAAGGGTCCCATCCACCTCCTAGTCTCCAACTGGGGCACAGAACAGGGGGCCACCTGTTAGCCTGAACTGAGTTAAATAATTTTCCCCAACTGCTTGCAGTGTGCACGTGGAGGCATAATTGTCTGTCTGTCTGTCTGTCTGTCTGACTGTCTGGATAGTTATATATTGCCTTGTTTTGGGCAGTTTATTTTTCTGCAGAGGCAGAAAAAGGGGCTGTCATCTTCGCCTTGACCAGGGAATGATCTGCCCAAGCCAGTTCAACCCTGCGCTCCTATTCCGAACAACAAGGAAGAGCACGGCTCCCACTCCGCTCTGCCCTGCCAGCATGAGCCTGATGTCCAAGTACTTTAAATCAAAAAGTTGGGCTGTGTCATCTGAGAAGCATTTTGAACATCAACCACAAGTACCTCCCTCACCGTTGTAAGTGAGCCACTTTTGAAATCAAGTGGACTTTCAAGCAGTTTGCAATACAGCAACTGGGGACCTGCAGCCGTATCCCTCTCGCAAGAAGGCATCAAAATCTTTGTGTGTATATAAATTAGCTCTTTGATCATGGCCCATGCTAATAAAACCTTTAACGGAATATTAATTCTGAATAATATTATTGCCTGTAGGTTTAATGTGCATTGCCTAAAAAACAGTCAGAAGATTTTTGGACTATGAAGAGCTCTGTCCCGTTCCTGAGCTCAATTACTATCCTTCCCACAAAGAGCAAAATTGCAGTTCAGCAACTGTTTGAATGTACAGCCCATGTTTCCAAAAAAGAATAAAGACTCCTTTACATTCCAAGACCTAACCTAGGAATGTTCCTTGCTTCCTTTTCATTCCATGCAGCCTCCCTTCAATAAGAGAGCTGGGCTAGCTACTCAGCTCTCACATTTGAGATAAAACCACAGCACAACTATGCACAGCAACAATTCAGTGTTTATTTATGAACCGTACTTACTGGAACTCTGCCTTTCGCCCTAAATGCTGCTACTCTAGAGAGGTCATCATCTTTTACGCTAGTTGGCACAACCAGAATGGCAGGATAAGTGTCACAAAATTCATATGTGCTGTTAATTTTGGATATTTTCCAACTCTCATTGGGTAGACCCTGCATAAAAGCAAAGCATTTTAAAAGAAATATTTAACACACTTGGTTTTAGACTGCCCAAATAACTGCACACAACAGTTTTATGCTAGTTTTCTTTTGTATAGAAGCTTCTAAAAGTTACACCAACTCAATCTTTGCCCTAAATGAATGAGAAGATATGAAGTTCAGAGCATGACAGGGTCAAAAGCTTCATTGACTATATTATTTGTAACCAGAGAGTCATCAGCAAGCAACTCAAGGCAAGTTTAAATACAATCCTGACCTGCATAGTTGTTATGTGAAAGGATATATCCCAATGTGCAGTTTTTCCTTTCCTACCAAGTCTATTCAACTGCAAACCATGATTTTATTTAAAGTTTTGTGCACCGCTTTGCATCTAAATAGATTCCGCAGCACTGAACAATACAAAGGATAAAACACATAAAAATAAATTGATGGGATAAAAACAGGGTATCTGCAAAACCCCAGTTGGTAAAACATGGAAGCCTTCCTTGAAATGAAGATACTTTTGGCAGGCACTGAAAACAACAGGGTGCTGAAGTCTGCCTGATCTCAACAGGGAGTTCATTCCACAGAAATAGAGCCACAGCACTGAGGGAGAGATGAGTAAGAAATCCAGAAAGACCCCTTGGACTCAGCCTCTCGGATCCCAGTTCGCCAGCCCTGCACTAGCACTGACTCACTGTGTGGAGCTGAGCCAGCAGGTGGGCTTCCATTGTTAAGACAGGCCATGCTTTGGTTATTTGAAAAAGCAAGGACAATCAGGAATTGTATGCAAAGTGGGTGACTAGCACAAACCAGCAAAGCGGCCAGCAATTTGTATAAATCACTCCGCGGCGCCTTGCGTGCTCCTTTGCACAAAATGCAAAGAATATCATGATTTGCTGCACTTGAGCAAATTGTTCAAATTTTTAACCATTTTTTAAAAGTGCACAAATTGCAGTCCATCTTGGAGAAAGACATTCACAGAAAATAACTGAACCTGGCAGGGGTCCAGCATACTCACATATGCCTTATTTGCAGAAGGCGCTCTCTCTCTCTCTCTCTCTCTTTTGGGGTGGGGGTCCATTTGGGCCACTGAGCCACATGGAATCACCAGCTGCATGCCCTCTGAGGACTTCAGTGATCAGACAGGTTGGTAATCCCTCCACCATCACCACCACATACACACCCCCTGCAATCAGTGGGGTGGGAAGCATGGTGGCCTGCCACAGATATAAACTGCTGGCAGTAGGTGAAATAGCTGTAAGTCAGGGAGATGGCTAAAGAGCAGGGCTCTAACAGCTTGCTCAGTAAAGAACAGTTTTGTTCCACCTCCTCCCAAGTCTGAAAATTTCTCTATGCATGCATGCATTAACTTATTTAGATGTGGCCTTTTAGAACACAGTCCCTACGAGGGAGGGAGGGACCTAGCTATCTATCTGTGGTATTTCTCTACTGCTCCACTTCCAAACAGATCCTGGAATGGTGAAGAATATAAGGCAAGAACAACTAAAAGGATGAAAACAATTCATTTAAAACAGCAAGACTATGGCCCATCGGGGAAAAAGGCTTCCTGGAATGAGCAGGCACAAAAAAGAGGGAGAAAAAAACAGCACAGTGTTGGTGCCTATCTGATGTCGCAAGGCAGAGAATTCCACAGAAATGGGGCCATCACACTGAAGGCTCTGCTGCTGCTGGACTCCAGCCAAGTCGTGGGGCCAGGAGGAGCCACTAAGAGAATGGCCTCTGATGCCACCAGTTGACTGGGCTGATTGGTAAGGAAGGAACCATTCTCTCAGGTGGTCCCCTGTTTTTCAGGACTCTGAACGGACCTACTACTAAAACCTTGAACCTGCTCGAGTAGTGAATTGTAGCCAGTGCAAGTTCTTCAGCGAAGGATCTGCATGCTGGAAAATGACAACATTGGAGCTGCTGGACTCTGCTAACTGCCAGCTTTTGGAGCAGCTTTAAGGGCAGTTCCACACTGAAGATGTTGCAGCAACCCAGTCATGAGTTTACCAGCACCTGTATCGCTGTGGCCAAGCTATCCCTATCCAGAAGAGGCCATAGCTAGACAGCCATTCAACAGTGATAGATCTAGGAGTATCCCCGGACTGTGAACCTAATCTTTCAGGGGGAACACAACCCCATCCTAAAAAGGCAATAAACCTAACTTTTGGACTCAGGAACCACTCGCCCACAGGAATTCCATCTTGCCAGGATTCAAATGCATCTAAGAACGAAAATCTACAAGACAATTAAACTAAAATATAGTACAATCCAGTCATCATCTATTAGAACTCCTAATATGCCTGTGGATATTCAGGAAAAATGATGGGTAAAGCAAGGTATTTTTAAAAAATGAAAACTTTCATTACCTACCTGTCTCTTATACTCTGCCATTGGATCATAAACTTTCCAGCCATTAACAGGAAATTTTTCTTTATAGCTGAATGCAAAGAATGGCTGAACATGGTGAAACAAAAACATACAATCAGGTTCGGGATGGCAGTTTAGGTAATTTAATACCCTGAAAGGCAGGGTAAAAAAAAATCTATTAATTTCATCTACTCTATCGAGATAACTCAAGTATGAATACTATAGATGTTTTGTATAAGAAGACTCAATAGGCTATATCTACAATCTTCCCTCCCCTTCTTTGGCATTTTAAAAAAGAAAGCATTGTAAGTGTTTAATACTTACCAGTCGATGAGAAATAGGAAATGCTCGTGTAATGAGGTTTTGAAAAATCTCTAGTCTTTGTTCTTCCTGTTTATAAGCAAACCGCAAGTTTCTCATATCCTGTCAAGAGATATTTTAAGTTTTGGTGTGTAAAATTAAACGTAACAGTAGTTGAAATGAATAATACTGGCTACTTGTATGAAAAATGCCCATGTCTTAATTCATGTGTATCCAAAGAGTAATAAAAAATTGTTCTAAGTTTCAGTGACTGGGCCTGTATCATATATGAACAAATTGTACCATTACACTCATAATGAGGTGTACCAAACCATGGTCATCTCTCACAGAAAACAAGAGTTCACACCATGCAGGACTGCCTCACACACTCATTAATTCATTAAAAGAGAAAAATGTGTTTTCAGAATGTATGTATGAACAGCAGGGCAAGTGTACATTCTCCACAGGCATCCCCTCTATCCAGGCCCTGTCCAAACTCGGTAAATTGTCCTTTCTCGCTCATGAGTTAGAATACTTTGAAACTTTCCACAGCATGACAGTACCTCTGCCACAATGAATGGACTAGTTCAACCCCTCCATGTCAAAGGCATCATACGAGGATTCCAGAATCAATTAAAGTACTCAGAAAGTAATGGACCAAAATTGAAAGGGATACCTTGCAAACTATTTCTAAACCGCAAGAGTTGTCTCCGTGGCTTTGAACTCCAATCTTTTCAACCCTGTTTATCACTCCCAAAGGAACATCAAGAACAAAATGCGGATCCTGAAATTGGAAGGAAAAGTAAACATCCTGTTCCTTTATTACAGCTATGAGTAAACAGTGCCCTACACTCCGTACAAGATAAAATCATACGATTAGGATAGGATATGTAAAGCTGCCTCAGTGTCTTCAGTTATACTTGGATGCCACTGTCTAAAAATAACATACAGGAAAGGCTTCAACTGAAAAGTGTGCAGTGCACAACAGAGGACACTATGTGGAAATAGACTTACCCTTTCCACATTCTTGAAATACATCTTGAAATCCGTCACTGTCAGAGTACCACTGATGGCTCCAAGAAATGGACAGATGTACATGACATCTTTAGCTGGAAAAAAATAAGACATTCCTGTTACTATCCTCTTCTAACCTTTACTTTATTATATATGTATGCACATCGACCAAATATTTTATGCAAGGCATTTCTGCCACTTCTAAATGCTCCTTTGCATTTGGAACAAAATGATTTTGCAAAGCAATTTATTCCACCATTGTTACTGTTGCTTTAAATGCCTATTACTTCATAGCCCATCACTTCAAATGAAGGTATTTTCATAATGAAAAATTATAAAGGCCAGCGAATTACAGTCTAGAATCAATTATATAGTACTTGGTGAGCATAACAAAATAAAAAGGAAGGCCTTCCCATTTCAGTGAGACTTACGCCTAGGTACCTGTGTATAACGGCAGACTTAATTAGTTTCCTTCTAATGGCTTCCACAGTTGCTCTGGATTCCAAAGGCAACAGCAGAACTGGGATAGTGAAAGAGACTTTATTGAAATAGCAGGGAACAAGAAATGACTAAAATTACGGACAAATATGAAACCACCATGATCCAGCGAACAGCGAGTTCGAGCCTTTGCTGGGTGGGAGAACTCCATCTATGGCCATAAAGTCATGAGAACGGAAACAACATCTGACAATCTCATCCACTTGAAAGCAGGGCTTAAGGATATGAAGTCAGTGCTGCATGCCCAGTTTATGCCTCCCAACAGTGGCAATTTTGCAGCAGTTCCCAAAGCTCCATGGATTGATTGTAAGGAAGAACGCACGCTGCAGGCAAGCAAGCAGACCTCCAATCTGGCTTTCCCCTGTCGCTGCCTATTTAATAAATAATTTCCATTTTCATGACAATGAAAGGGGCAGAACGAGAAGAGCTTTGCAGCCCTGATACCAATTCATGAGAGTGACTTTTGAATAAAACATGACACAACAATCTCATCCGGCAATACTGAAGGTTACAGCGAAAGGCCGTCTGACTCAAACCTTCATTAAGTCCTTCTCACTCTTCCAAGCAGTGAGCCATTCGAGGGGATGCTATAGGGCTTCGCTTCCTTTGGATAAGTGTACCACTAGACATGATAGTGTGGCAGACATACGTGCTTTATTTTCAAGCCTCTTGCCTCACAATCCACAGAGAAATCTAACAGGTTGGGGGCTGCAGCAACCAGCACAGTAAAGCTAATATTCCAGACTAAGATTTTTTAGCTAGCCTTTTTTTTAACCAGCCCACATCTCCACGCTGGCGGCAGAGAGGCCTCTTGGAAGGAATCTCAGAATCCTATGCCTCTGTGGACACGAAAAAACCACGAATTCCCAGCATTTCCCAGCCACAGTAGGCTAGGAAAAAAGGAAGAAAGCTGGTTCATTGTTTGTGTGAACCTCTTTACAATACAGACAGCAGCTCCTGAAAGACGAAAGAAGAGGTAGCAAAATGGCCGAGAGCAACTGCCCGGATCCCACCCAGCTACCAAATTTCACAGCTCTCTCCTCCTGCCAGCCTCACAACGCACAATCCTCTGACTGGTTTCCCCACTGCCCGTGCATGTCCCTGCAGAGTGCAGGCAGGCAAGCAGGCGCTTCCTTCCGGACATCTCCATAAGCACCAGCCATCCCCTTCACAGGACACTCCTCTGGTAAGACGTTGATGCCTCCTGCTCATGGAAGCTGCTGATTCCAAAGTCTGGCCAAGAGACAGGTGCCTCTCGCAGGTAAGCTGCCCATTTACAAACAGCAAGTATTTACAGATAGCACGCCCAGTCTGAGCTGGAGAACCTGTATCAGACTGGTACTCGCGGACAACAGGCCAACACTAACGTAGAGCTGCTGCTCTGCTTTTGGTTTCTGTGCTCTCCATACTCTGCCAGGTAAGGTGCTTTCGACTCCTGTCCCCCACTGGTCCCCCAACAGCAACAGGGGCTCCTTTCTTCTCCCTCCTTTCTCTTGAGGACTTGGCACATTGCTGGGAGAAGCTCTGTCCTGAACCCACGGACACTTTCACTTCCCAAACCTGCCCCTGAACCCAGCCTCAGGCATTCACAAGAGACAAAGGCAGGTGCAGCTGAGGGCCCCCACTTGGTGTGGACCTGCCCCTTCTGCTGATAAGAAAAGTTGCTACTTTAAAAAAAAAATCAGGAGGCTTAGTGTGCCTTGGTGGGCAGCAGAGAAGTCCAGAAGCGTGCAGGCATCATGCTGCCTATCCCCACATGAAACCCTCCACCTGCCTGGGCAGAGTCGTTTTGCATCACCTGGCACACCTGTGAAATATCCAGGAGTTTAGGGGAGCAACCTGTTTCCTGTGGAGGGTCATGTTATCCCAAGGGGTACTCTGTTGGGGACAGTGGATCAGGTGGGGGCAGGCCAGAGGCGAAAGAGGCTGCAGCACCCCTTTTCCCATTCTGTGCTTCCCCCACCCCCTGCCACACCTTTCCCTCTTTTTCACCCAGTTAGAGCTGGGGAAGGGGCCGATCACAGGTACCAGGGTATGGACTGATGATTTCTAAATGACTGCATGAAATGAAGCCAAGGGCCAGAGGTGATCCACAACAAAGCATGCTGAAAATACAGCTCTATCCAATTTTCCTATTCCCTCAACTATTACCATATAGTACAGTACACCTCTTGCACAGATTCGCCTAATACTTTGCACTTTAAGTATTTAAACACTAAGCAGATTGGACCCCAAACAGCTAAAAGACAGCCTTCTCCCACAATAACATGTTTACCGATTAAAGTCTCAGAAGTCCTTCTCCAAATGCCCCGTGCCTTCCCAGGTTGGGCAGTTGGCAACTGGAGAGGGAACCTTTTCATTGGTGGTTTCCTGAAATATCAAAATGCCCTCCCAGATAAGTTCTGTTAAGCATCTTCTCTGTTGGGTTTCAAGTACCAAGCAAAGACTCCCTTGTTCTCACTCACCTTTAATGGCCGTGAATGGCTTATCTCCACTTCTAATCTTAACTATTGGTTTTAAGTTTTATGTGTATTGTTCTTTGTACTATGTTTTACTTTAATGTTTTTACTGCATGGCATCTTGGGACTAGTTTGCAAAATGCAGGGGAAAAAACATTTCAAAGAAAATAAACAATTTCAATAGTGCTTTGCACGTTCAGAACAAATTACACATACCATCACGGCAATCTTTGCAACACTGTTCTAAGAATGGCCGGCCATTGTTGCTTGCAGATGGGAACGAAACTGAAAGATTCATCGCCATGTCTATTGATTTTGTGCCTCAAGTGAGATTTTAAACTGGGGACTTCTAACTCAAAACCACAGTGCTAGCCTCTATCCTTGCATAGAACCACTAACAACAGAGTAATTGGAAAACATATTTGATGCTAAATGTTTTGGTTTCCACCTTCCTTCAAAGTGGCATGGTGAAACACATTGCAACTTCGCACCAATTATATTCTGAAACGTTCAGCTGTCTGTCTCTGTCTGTCTGTCACTTATCTATCAATCACATTTTAGGCAAAGACTGGCTGCATTCATAAGCAGATTCAGAGCTTAGTTGCTGCTTTCCTCCTGCGACCTCTCTCCGGCCCCCACAGTCTGCCTGTCTCTTTCTCTCTCAAAAATAGACCAATGTTCAAACCCACATGATCAGAACCACGAAGTGACAGCTTTCCAGAAACCCAGGCTTGTTAGCACTTGACTGTTTCCAACTCTTAACCTCCTTAGCGTTGTAAGTGCCAGCCATTTGGCATTACATGAGTCAGCCTCAGAGTCTCCTCTGTGGACTGAAATTAGCTACTTTCTGTTTAGTGCAAATCATACTTTGTTGTTGCATCCAAACAAGCTATAGGTTTGCACCTGCCATCCAAAGGAGGATGGCGACTGCCATCAAAATGCAGTTTACCATTCTGGTTCAGAGGATGAATGCAAACCATTGTGGGAATAGCACCAGGTGCTGAATTGCTTTAAATGGAAAGCAGTTTATTTTAAACTAGGGCTTACTCCCTAGCAACAATGATACATGCTCTGGTAACTTCCCACTTGGATTCCCACAATGCGCTCTATGTGGGGCTGCCGTTGAAAACTGTCCGGATACTTCAGCTGGTACAGAACAGAACTGCCAGGCTGCTGATGGGGACCGGCCGTTACTCTCACATTACGCCGGTCCTCTACCAGCTCCACTGGCTTCCAGTTGAAGTCCAGGCCCAATTCAAGGTGCTGGTTTTGACCTATAAAGCCCTGATTGGCTTGGGACCAGGATACCTGAAGGAACGTCTCCTTCCTCACATGCCCTCACGCCCCTTAAGATCTGTGGGAGAAGTCCTGCTCCGGGAACCCTCTCTAAGAGAGGTAAAAGGTCATCAACTCGGAGTATGGCTTTCTCTGCTGTGGTGCCCAGACTCTGGAATGTACTTCCCAGAAAGGTACACCTGGCACTGAGCTTATGCTCTTTTCGGTGCCAGGTCAAAACCTTTTTTATTTAAATGGTATTTTAAAATCAACAACTTTTAACATTCAGTTGCTCTTGGTTTTTTTGTGATTTACTGTTTTGTCTTATATATTATTCTGTTTTAATTTATTTATTAGAAATTGATGTGGTTTTAGTTGTTCTTTTAAACATTGTACGCCGTCCTGAGAGTTTTATATAATAGGACAGCATATAAACGTTTTCAATAAATAAATATTAAATACTTTAATGGTACATCTAAGCACATATGGGAAGTAGAAAACATGTGATCCTGAGGCTTGGCGAGTAGGTTTCTTCAACCAACCTGGTTTTCTCCAGATATTTTGGATAATAATTTGCAGCATTCCTGACTACTGTCCAGGCCATCTGGGGATGGTCAGTGTCCAGGTCCAAAGCACCTGCATTTCACCTGGCTGGTTGAGAGGGATGGGAATATTTTGTGTCAACCAGCCCACAGAAACTCCCCAAATACTTCCTCAAAGGGAGCACCGGGGCGGGGGCCGGGGGTGAGGGAAGGAATGCAAGAAGAGTCACAGAGGCGCTCTATTTCAAAGGCCTCTGATATTATCACAATGAAAAGGGGAAAACAATGATTTTGAAGCTACACCGTAAGCATATACTTAGCACATCAACCTCCTAGCTTACTGACTGCTGTGCTAATTTGTAATTAAAATTCTTCTCAGATTAGCTAGCTTTTTGTGTTCCACATCTCCTGCAGACCACTCTGGTTTAAGGGATTAAGGATCCAGGATAAATTATCATACTCAAGTAAAAAAATCTGGAATATATAAAACCAAATGAATAACTTTCGTTTTATGTTTGGCCACAAACAATGATGTTATCTCAGTCACTTAATACTCCACTTACCAATAGCTTTGATGGATTCTCCAGGAAAAAGGGGAGCCTCTTCCATCTGGGCGAGTTTGTTTCCATCCCTTAGTGCCTGGCAGAGAGCCAAAGTTAGAAGTCAATCTAACATTCCATCTGCGGTGCTCCAATACACAACTACAAGGTGCTTCTGCTAGAAGGTTACTGAAGCAAGACAAGCGACAGCTCTATCCACTCAAAGTAGAATGCTTCAACTCTATGCTAGGGCAGGTGTGGACACACACTTAACTGCGGTTAAGGAGATCCGGAAAGGGACAGGCAACCACGATCTTCTTTCTCTCTCTTGGATACAAATTCCCCCCATCTCTCTCAACTGTGGTTAAGCAGTTCATCAGCAGTGACGGAACAGTTAACCAGGTTTTACTTAGGAAGCATCCAAGAAAAGTTTGGGATTCTGCATAAGAATGAATCCTGGTAAAGCCTCAAGCTTACTTAATCAGGCTGAAAATGAAGCACGTGGTAGAATTTAAGATGGGAGGGAGGAATGAGTTTCTAAAAGGGGAGAGGTAGGGAAGATACGGCCCTGTAGCCTGCCCTTGATCTCTTAACCATGGTTAGGAGTCTGTCTGCTCACATTCTGTGCAGTGTTAGTAATGTACCTTTATGTAAAAACACAGAGATTTGTAAAACATGAATTAGTAGCAAAGCTTTTTCACAAAGATGAACTATCCCAGTTAGCACATACAAAAGGTAAGCAAAACTTCTTCATATACATAAACAGAAGGGTAGTTTTGCACACAGCCTCCAGACCATATTTAGGTGTCATACTTAAAAAAAATGATACCATAATATACTCTGCAAACTGCACATAAACCAAGGAAGAAAGTTTGGTTTTGCACTTAAGCTGCTTAGTGACAGATTACAGACCACACACACAGGGGCTTGTTGTGGGCTATTTCAAGCAGATCATGGACTTTGTGGGGTTCTTTAACCCTCCCATAACCCATGCTCACTGGGTGTGCATGACACAACTGTCCCCGAGCAGGGCTCGCACGTGTAAAATGGCAGACGTACACATGCCACAACCTCACCACAATTCAACTAACCTGCTGAGGGCTGTCCTGTCATGCAACCCACCCCAGTATTTCAAGTTTGATTTTCCTGACATATATAACATAAAATGCTTTTTAATGTATACTGTCAATCTATTTGATCCACAGAAAAATAATTCACTCCCTCATTTAAATATTTTCTCATTAAGAAAATAACTGAGCTCATTCAGGACGAACTTGCTGTCGGCCATTAAGGAGAGAGCTTATGAAGTCTCTAGCTTATTTTGATGGCATTAGGTTAAGATTACAGAAGGTCAAGCTATTTCCTCCAAAGAGCTTGTAATTTACCTCTGTTCCTGTGTATATTGCTCATGGCCCAACCAGATACAAACAGCAGGCCATCCATGGGAAGAAACATGGCGGAAATATCAGCATGCCATTCATTCTCTGAAGGTATTCAGGGAAGTTTGTTCTAGTGGGGAAACTCCTACCCACCTAAAAGATTTCAACCATTCCCAAACATGTTTCAAGTTTGTTAGATAATGTTAGAGAACATTAAAGGGTGATGCACTTCCCTCATGTAAGATGTTCAAGAATTTGCAGGTGTAAAAAGCAGTATTTTTACCCAGGTCAGATTCCAAAGAATATCTGGCTGGAAAATTTGTCAGCAAGCCAGTAAATGAACATGTATGAAGTCACACACGTACTATAACCACCCAGAGTAGGGGCTGAGTATAGGTTGTTGCTGAACTGGGGGTTGCTGTCTCATGAGAAATAAACCTAATAAACCACAGTTTGCTAATCATGAAGTACCACAGTAAGAACACATGATTGGTGGTCAGTAATGAACGTGGGTTGCTTGTGATCAACAAACCATGGCTTGTTAGCTTGGCTGGGGTTATACAACAGAAACTATGATCCAATAACAACCCACAACACATACACCTGGTTGGTGTGCCATGTGAACCATTTCTTCGAGTGTGTGGATTAGGGCAGACTGAAGATACTGTTCAGTGCTCTTGTCTTAACCACTATTCACCTAGGGCTTCATTTGTCGTGTTTTGTTTCATTTTGTTTTCCCAGGGCTTTTAGGTCAATCAGACAAATTCACAATTAGATGGTGGCTGGATGATATAAGTGAGCTTGTAGGAGTGGTGGGCAGAAAATGGTTCTCCAAATGTTTTGCGCTTACTGCTGAGAGGAATTGCTAACTAAAACGTTTTTTAGTTTTGGTGCCCATTCCTTCTGAATTTTATGATTACACTTTATGATTAGTCTTTTGTGACTAATACTGAAATGGCCATCGGTGGCAAACAATAAATTTGACTCACAACTCAGGGCAGAGCAGAAACTGCCAACAGAACCCATAGAACTGATCTAGCTTCCAGCAACCCACCCAAATATCAGTTAAGGAACAGTAATCCATTTGCCCAAAGTTTAGCTCAAGGAAAACGGAAGTGTTGCCAAAGTGTAAGAAATGGCAATCCCGCACCTTCAGCTTCTCATTTGCTCCTGTTTACTATGAAAGAGTGGCAGCTTTGTTCTGTAGGCTGTCCAACAAAGATGGCATCCATTTGTGAGGCAAAACACACTTCTTGCCTCCAGACCCTCTAGACCACTGACTCTCCCCACAAAAAAGAGTTCACCTGTTCCCAAGGAAGAGCCTGAAATGCATCAGAAATTCTGGAGAAGTTAATAACTAACTGACCTGCACCTCTGGGCCATTCTACTTGGCCTTCTGCAATTTATGTTGTGGTCTACTATTTGTATTCCCTCCCACCTTTAAGTATTCCAACACTAATCCCTGCTACAGCTCTTACAGGACAAGTTGATCCATCCTAGAAGCACTGGAGAGTATCTTGCTCACCTTGTTCCAGTTCAATCTTTGCTTAGGACAACAGTCCTTTACCAACACTTGAATATGTTGAAAATGGGCAGGGAAATGGTCCTGTCACTCTAAGAATACTATTAAAGAGTTGCAGAGTGTCTTTCTTAACCCCAGAGGGCATTTCCTTCAGTAAAGTAAGGAAACCCTTGGAATCATAGGTTCAATTCCTAGTTGGAATCTCATAACCATCCCCACAATGCTCCCCCCCACACCATTTCCTCCATTAAACCCAACTTTTGCACATATTGCCCTGCCTGCAGTATTTACAAGAGTGGAAGATTTAGTAAATCAGATTATAAACTGTTTTGTACCAGATAAAGCCACTCTGCGGTAATAAGCAGATCAACTAAATGACTTGATATTTTAGTGGACCCACACACACTAATAGCTTATACTTATGGTTGGGGTATGTCTCAAAAATGTAGGGAGAATGGGGAATCTACAGACTTAAAACATATTTGTGAAAATACAGTGAGGCCTGCTCCAGAGCCAGTATTTGGTGAGAATGTACAATGCTTCTTCATAAAGTCTCAGAGTAAAGTTTGCAACATTTGAAGTTTTGGCATGTACAGACATCTGGTTAATGTAATAAGAAACATTTGCAGATGTCCACCAGAACTTCTGGTCTATTTCTGATTTACAAGTCAGGATTAATACTGGTATCCTGCTCAGTAATGTGCCCCATATGTCTAACTGATGTCAATGGGTCTTGTTTGTATATCTGTGCAATGCTGTCTTACACAGAGTTTGCTGGACTCTTTTAAAGAAATCAGCCAAATTATTGCTTGATATTAATAGATTTACATGTGAAATACTAATATGACATCCAGCATACTATGAGTCATGCTACTTATTCTACTTAATATATCAACTGGTGCAATTAACTTACTGATTCATTGACTGCATATTTAAAATATAGACTTTAATGGTATTTTAATTATGAACACTCTTGAACTAAACACTACTCAGTTCTACTGGTCTTGTTTCTGTTGGATTCAGTCAAAAGAAAGTGTTAGAATCATTCAATGTTGTCAAATATCACCTGTATTAGTAATGTAATATTTTTAATGTTTAAGCAGCCCATTAGTTGGTTAAGTGGTAGCTACCTGGCAGCACCACTAAGAGTACATTTTAAAAACCTACGCATCTGAATTTCCATTGTATTATTTTGTGCTGTTCAGGCCTTGTGGCCAGGATCAAAAGAACTGCACAAGCAGCTCCAACTGCCCAAGGGATATGAATCTTGAGGGTTCTTGAAAAGCACTCTCTGGGCTTCTCTGGCAAACCAGTTTTGAAATCGCCAGTGCTTAAAAAGCAGATGGCTCATCATCTGGCAATGTCCAGATCTTCAGAGAATAGGTGAAGGAAAAAAAGTAGTAGACATAATCCAGCAGTTAGGTATACCTAAGGTACTCCTTAAATCTTGGCCAATGAGTGATTGAGCATTCAGCTCTGGTTTACTCTGAAGCAGGGTACTTAAAAACCATGACTTCCTGCTCAATTCTTCCAGGAGAGGCCAGAAAAGCCATGGCCCATGCTACCATGCTTCTGTGCCAAGTGTGGAGGAAGGGGAGGTCTCCAATCCTCTGCAGTGTAGATGCTGCTAGCCTGAGGAGTCCCAGACCAGTGTGATCACTGGAGAATGCTGGCTGCCTGATGCCATCACACAGCTGCAGTGCCCATGACCATTCATCACCGGTAGGTCAGCCTGGTCTGGTGGCGGAGTGGTCCATAAACAGTGCCCCCATGCACAGGAGTTGCAAACGCCCTGTGGCAGCCTTGTGGGGCATCCACCGAACCAGGCCACCTTCTTATGGATCTTACTCTTCCTTCTGGTGTAACTGGCCAACACTGGGGGAGAAGGGAACCATGTGACCTGGGCTGGCAGATGCCTCCTCACAGATGGGGAGGAGGCCTTGCTTACCATTCCTGTGCTGAAGCCCCTCTGCAGTGGCCTTGAAGGACATGCTATGTATAAGGGGTGGGCACAGGACTGTCTGTATGCAGCAGCTGGAGTGCCTGCATGCACACAAATACTCTGCATTCCAACCACCATACAGAACTACAATCCTGCCCCTTTAGTAATCTCTTCAACTGTTTTAAAAGAACCCAAGAAACGAAAAGTTTGGCAACACTTGTGATTTCCTCCATAGGGGTTATTTGATAGGTGTCTCAAGACTTGGCATGAGAAAAAAACTACTCCAAACTATTCATTGGGTTTAACAAATCACAACTGGTTTTAAATCGTAAATCCAAACAAGAGAGATTTCTAGGAAAGACTGGAAAACACTTTTCAAAGGTTCTCAAAGTTTTAGAGAGGAGATAGCAAAAAATGGAAACTTCACAGCTCCAATACCTACAGTGACATATGAAATTGTTACGGAACAAAAAGATGAGTAAAACTTGCCACCTGATCAACTTCTGCGTCAGAAGGATAGCCATTGTGTCCATCCTGAATCTCCTGAATGCAGCAGTGGGCAAGCAGAAGTAATAGGGAAAAAACATGCACATAACAGGTGAAAGGACAGCATTTTTAAATGAAGAGACAGTAGATACTTTAACATCCAACATGTTCAGTCAGCATTTCCATACCTTGCACAGATTAAGTTGTTTTGACTCCTTGGAGACACAGTTTGCTTTTAAATGGGATAAACTAGAATGCTACACATTCCTATCCCTCCAAGAGCAACTGCAGGTACCCAAGAACACAAAGTATGTACTGTCTTTTTGAAACAAGCAACCTTCAAAACAGCAAAGACAAAATGCAGAGTATAAAGAAGGCCTCATGCTTAAAGTAGAAGAAATGGCAAACAGAGAAACCATGCAATTATCTGGAGATTAAATAGTTACATATTTTCAGGCCTGGTGGAAATATTAAGACAATTTAAAATGTTGCTAAGAGTCTAATGGTCCCATCTGAAGATCTTCCCATTAACACATATTATATATGTTGGTATCAGCGGCTGACTGCAAAACCCTTTGGAATTGGGCTATGACCATGTCTGATAGCTTACCATTTCATTGTGTGAAATACTTTTGTCATGCTGATGGGGTCAAAAAGAAGGCAATTTGCCAAACTACTAACAGGTTCAGCTCTCTGCATTTGCCCCATTTCCATACATATTTAAGTAAGATCCCTCTGAAATCTCAGGAGCAGGGCACAGGGTCACCAAACTTCTGATTTGTACAAAACTAGAACATAAATGGTGAATGGAGGTAATGATCGTTTAAGTGGGCAGTGTTTCATATTTGAACCAAATGCACGCCCTTTCATTTCCTTTGGGTGCTACTGATCTAGAAAAATTATACAATGTCCCAACGACTGGATGCTTTTATATACTCACCAGTGGCAGATACTTATGCTGAAGCTCCACCACACTTCTAAGAGTAATAACGGTGGAATCCTGTGCATGTTTAGAGGAAAGAGAGGCCTACAAGTCCCAGCAAAAGATGTAGACCTTTTTTCCCTCTAAACACGCACAGGATGGCACACGAATACCGTACATGAAGGAGGACCATGCCGTGGTCGGCTGCCAATTTAGTATACCAACATGACTTGAGCCACCTCAAACATGGCTCAGGCGAAGCAATGGAGTACCTTAATAGGCCTATGTTTGGAATGCAGCTGGGTAACTGGAAATTTTAAGCACCGTGTTCAGCTGACTTTAAAAAAAGGCACAAGTCAACTTTTCAGGTTACTAAGATTTCCAAAGTGTTTTATCTTTCATTCATAAAAGAACTGGATGGTGCTTTCAATTAAGTCTTCTCCCCATCACAGACACAGAAGAAAGAAAAGGCACTCGCATCACCCTGGAGAAACAGGTAGAGCCGTCCCAGAAAAAAGCTGAGCTGGAAGGTGTTTGAGCTGATCCAGAGATGAGGAGACAAAGCTAAAGCAATGCAACCTGTAAAAGAACTAGATGCGCTAACACTTCACCATATAAGCATAGGGATCACCATTTTTATCTTGGCCCTTCATTTAAAGATTTGATTGGTATATGCGGTCTTTGTGTGTCGGATGGTAAATGAGCACAGCTTTCTGAGAAAAGGACCCCCCACCCCCCCCCACCCCACCCCACCCCACCCCTGGAAGCAACCTAAGTCGGGACTTACCTCCTGTTTCCTCACATTCTGCTACAGCTACATCGTGCTGGAGGAAAACCACCACCTTGCCAGAGCTTTGCCTCTGGTATTGCATGGTGCTTTGGAAGCATTGCCAAGCCTCAGGCAACATCCAGCAAGGGGAGAGACCAAAGGAAAGGGGACCAATGGTCAGGAACAGTGATTCTACCTCCAGGGCTGCTAGTTCAGAAAGGACACCAGGATTCCCACCGAGTACCATTTGTGGCCCACATTGCTGTGCAAAAGCTACCCTGCCTGTTTACAGGTCTTTCTCCGACATTTTTATTCTGCCTACTAGCTAAAGTTCTCTGGATGGTTTGCAAAACAAAATTTAAACTGGTGAAATACGGTCATATAGTAAAACAAATCATGAAATGCCATACATAAACAGTATCAAAGCAAAGTAAAAACCAGGAGAAAAGCTGGCTGCAGGATAAAGATGCAAAAATGAGAGGTGAGCCAGTAGAGGTTAAGAGTGCTGGGCTGGAGCTAAGGAGATCTGGGTTCTAGTCCCCACACAGCCATGGAGCTCACTGGGTGACTTTGGGCAAGGACTCTCAAAACCAGCCTACCTCACAGGGTTGTTTTTCTGAGGATAACACTGAGTGGAGGAGAATTATGTAAGTCCTCTTGAGTTCCTCAAAAGGAAAAGTGCTGGGATATAATCAGTCAATAAAAATAATAAAAAT